TGATGGTTTGGGCCATGATGACGTAAGGAAGCAAAGCACCACTGGTCTTCAATGGCAAAAATGTGAAAATCAACTCCGAGGTCTACCAAAAGTAGTTTTATTGAGCACCCTGTCAGTGATCCCTTTCGTGATCGATCGTTCGTCCTTCTCGAAATTGGGCCCCTTTTCATGCCTCAAAGTCGACGAAAGCGGTACTGGACTGGCACTTCCCCGGTTACCGGGGCGAGGACAACCGACCTTTCGTTTCGCCAGACCTCAGTCTAATGAATCTTTATATAGGGGTTTGGGGAGCCCAATCGCAAGACGCTCCTACTGCTCGTTGGACGTTCTGAAGCTGGCGCTTCAGAGGACGTGGGACGGCATCTACGTCGACTGCCTGCGGCGCACTGTTGATTCAGTGATCCAACGTCTGGAGGCCTGTGTAAGAGCGAAAGGTTTGAGCTTCGAACACTTCCTGTCCCAAGCGATCATATAGCTCTGCGCTATTCCTCAATGAGTTGATTTGTCTCTCTGTTTTTTATCTTTGAACTTAAGCCTACAAATGTGGCGTCCTATACTTTTCAGCCACCCTGTACATTTTTATTTAAATATTATTGAAAAGGATAATGAAAGCTCCAACTCGAATTTCCGTCGAGCAGTAGAAAAATGTTAGCGAGAGCTTTCGGACGAGCGGACATCTGATGGTGAAGACGAATACGTGTGGAAGGGCAACAGGTTGCCTCTCTCTGGTAGACAGATATTTCCTCGAGAGATTCCTCATCCTTTGTCCAGGAGGCAGTGATTTAGACGTAATGTACTGGGGTTTGCTGTGTTTAAGTTAACGCGTGGAGAACGAATTCAAGCGCGACCTCGGGCGGACGGATAAGGGGGACTCAAGCAAGGGGCCGCCAACCTCCAGTTCCTCGACAACTACTTAACCGCAGCGGAAGCGAAGCGGCGAGTTGGTCAATATAAAACCCTCGCATAACTGGGAATTACCGAAACTTTGCGTTAGAGCACGTTTCTGATGAATTACGAAAAAATTCCGAAAGCCCTGGTTTTTTAAGTAAATAACAGTGGTAAAAGCGGACACGCCACACGCGCAGTTTTCAACCTCCCACCGCATTGAGGTGGTAGTCCAGCGGGAGTTTACTCGGTATGACGCTTGGAATCAGCAATGAAGGCTCATAGAGGCCAACTTCAAAGCAAGTCGTAAGTGGATTTAGGGTTTTGAGTCAAGCCATGGTTTTCTTCGATAAGGGTTCCTTGACAAATAGTGGGTTATCGTTGTGCACATACATCAATCAGCTACTGTTCGACAGTCTTTTTAAATGTCAATTAACATGTACTAGCATTTCGAAAGTGAGGACCGTATTCCTCTAATGGAGCGCCGTATCCCTTCGAATGAGGGCTTTGGTCAGATTATTCATCCGGCTGTCCTTTACCGTGAGTGGAGGGAGTCGCCAAAATTTTCGAAACACTGGCTTGAGTGTACGGTACGGAGAGGTATATCTATTTGCTCAGTAGCGTAATTTTCTCATCAGATTTCTCTTACTCGAGTTCCTGAATGTGAGAAAGCTCCGTAGTTGGCCAATATTGAGCGCAAAGGCGTTTTGCAAGCGATTAGGGCGCCTTTCATGGAGAAGCAAAACAAGCGCATGCATCAAGGAAACTAACCTTGATGTCGTGCCTACCTGTCCACCATATTACCAGCCGCACCACCGTTGCACAGACGTGGCTCTGCTCGGTTCGGTAATCTGTTCTACTCAGTGGTATAGCACAGGAGGAATTACCCCGTAACTTTGTTCACAAATGGTCAGCAGACAAACGTAGATTTGAGACCAGCAATTGAAACTACCTACAGCGGTGCACAACTCATTTGAATAGCTACTGCGACCAAGTATTCTTCCCTTAGCTCGCAAAGGGTGGAGTTTGTGAAATAAGTGTTTGAGCAGAAATTCATAACTCCTGTCCCCGTGTACATATAGTGTTCAGATTTGGCAGGTACGCAGGCTTCAGGATGGGAACACGTAAGGTGTGTGGTAAGTTCGGATTCCGCCCACAGGGGCCGGGGTAAACAAAAGGTGTTAATTTGGACGTAGAGGTTCAAATTTTGTATGGGTATGTATACAGGAGGCAGGATGGCAACACTTTTGATAGGTTTTAAGAAGTGAAGTGAGCCGAGCACCACCTGGGGGGTCGGGTGGGGGGAGGATGGAGGGTGAGAGCGGAATGCTGTGAAATGAGCTAAATTAGACTAAAACTACAAAATCGCGTTGAATTAGGTGGGAATGAACCGTGTAACCTAAATTCGGTCTTGATCATGGTGACGCGCACAAGGTGTGCAGAAGTTTTTTCGTGAGTTTGGTCGGAAAACAATGACAACCGTTCTCCTTTACCAGAGCGTCCAATTTAGGAAGTTATACAGGCGGCGGGTCAATTTAAATGCGAAAAGGAGGAGAGCCCGGCGTCAGCAGGGTGATCCGACTGGTCGAAAATTGCTAAGGCCCATTCTGCGACGAAAAGTCTCCTAGTCATGACGTAACAAAATGATCCCTGTTGGTTGGGTGACCAAAAACGAAGCGTCAGTGGACTCCCTGCTTCATAGCACCTTCCTCACTGCGCCCACGTGACTTTTTGCGGACTGGCACATAAACAGGCACACGAAGGTAGGGCTTCATGTACAATATCGTCCAAGTCGGCAAAACTCAAGCCTTCTGCAGGAAATTTTAACAGTAGATAACTCAAACAATTGGTAACACTTAACGCTGTGTAGCGGTCCAGCAGCATACTCCCAACTAAAACTGGCGTATTATTTTCAAATCGCCCGCCAATTTACATATTCGATAACTGGTGGGTTTTAATGTTAAAATTTTCTGGTGGTTCTCACAGTTTTGGGTCGAGTCATGCACCTAGTACGTTATCAAGGCTATGCCAAGGTCGGGAATCCGTAACTTGCGACAAGACCAAATTGATGCCGTCATTCGGAGCTTCCACGAAGGCCTAACATTTGGACACATTTCCGAAATCCAGGCGTGTCAGCTAGACGTGCACAAACGATTTGGTAGATATACAAGGACACAGGGTCAGCTGCAGTCAAAGAAAGTCCGGGAGCATCAAAAATGACGTCTCATCTTGTCTACAGAAACATTGTGCGCCTCGCAAGGAACAAGTCACACTGTAGCAGAGATACTTCGCGAAATATCGACGCCCGGGAGACCAAACCCATCCGTGACCCTTGTACGACGAAGAGTCCCGTTTGTATGGACGTCGTCTAGTGATGAAACCGCGGATTTCTGCCAAGGATCGCAAAGCACATCTTGATTGGGCTCATATCCACAAGAACTGAGCCGTTTAGCAGTGGCGTAAGGTCATCTGTAGTGACGAATCGAAGTTTATGCTGTTCGAGACGGACGAAGTCAAGTTTGTGCGACGTCCTGTCAGTACCAGCTACCGACCATGAAGGGCGGCGAAGGATCGGTGATGGATCACAACGGCCTCTTTGGCAAAGGAGTCATCTCTTTCATCGGATCGAACACAAATCGTAGCTGCTCGCCAAGTGGTTCCGCGACAACAACGTCCTCCTGCAGCCGTGGCCGTCGCAGACTTCCAATCTGAATCCCTTCATGCAGCTATGTGAAACACTTAAGCGTCGAGTTAAAGCATGAAAAGTCGCAAGCATGAAAAAAGCATGAAAAGAGTCAAAATGAGCATGAAAATTCCTTCAACTGAAGATCGCATGTGAGATCATCCCACATGAGGAGATCAACAAGCTCATCGAGGCCATGCCACGCTGTTATCAAGCGGTCATTGGCGTCAAAGGTTATGCGACAAGGTATTGATGTCATAGTTGTTAGATTGCTGTTATGTAAGCTGTCGCGTTGAAAAACTGAGATGGGTTAATCCTTTGACGGCAATGGCACCCCAGTGGGTGCCACTGGCTGATTTCATAGCCCGCCGGCCGGCACGATCGCTCGTGGGCCGGTCGGCGGACTATGAAAGCAGCCACTATGACTAGCGCATGCGACAGAGGCACCCAATGTCGGGTGCCACCTTGTTTCTCTGCAAGTTCGAAATTTATTAATATTTTCATAGGTATTAACAAGCTTCATAGTGTCGATATTTGAGGTAGTCCACAGGAATGTTTTACATCAGCTTATCTTTTATAAACATTTATAGTCAATGGAAAACTAGTGGAAAACACACAGCCCTTCCGCAAGATTTGTGAACGTATTGGAAGCATTGTGGACACCAGAAGCCCTCATTTCGATCATATGGCCGCCAAGATTGTCTCAGCTTTTCAGTGAGGAATGGCAAATTCAAGGAGTTAGAATGTTACACGAATTCCTACTGCGCGCGTTGTTTCCTGAATTTCATCCTACATTGCTTCCAAATCCGAACACTTGTGAGCCTTGAATATGAATAACGGATAAGGCAAAATCTTGATCCTTCTGTTATACGGAAGACATTGCTAAAATTCATAAACTAGAAGAATTTTCTACTAGGACACTGGCACCTAGCGGTGGGTGCTAGTCGCGCACGAAGGAAAAGGGGCGTGGTCCTATGAGCGCCCCCCGTCGAAATACGCATTGTCGTCAAAGGGTTGAAGATCAAGGGAAAGGGGGTACAGGGATGATGATGTTTGACCAAACAAAAGTAAGATCTTTCAAAATACTTCACAATTTACTTAGACAACTGAGAACTTGCTCCCTTATCACATTTATTGATAGGCATTCACAGCGGAAAAATCATAAGGAAACTCATTGTTCTAAAGGGGTTATGTTTGAAAAAGTGAAAACGTATTTCACTGGACGGTACTGTATTTATTTATTTGTTTGTTTATTTATTTATTATGCGCTCAAGTTGCGCCATCAGCAAAACACAATAGGAAAACATTACAGAGTGAGAAACCACTATAGAAAGAAAGAGCTGTATATGCAACAATTGATGACGAATTGTTCTCGTTTTACCCTGTTTATACTACTTCTACTTTTCGAGGAAAATGCAATAAGGAAGTTCAGAGTAATGGTAAAACTGGCTGGTTTCCGTCCAACTATGTGGAAGAACTGACCGGATCATTGTACACCTGTGGTAACGAGAATGAGGATTCAAACGGTTGTTCTGTTCATGTTGGGCGTCCACCATTAACAGCTATTTCTTCTCCTGCTTCCTCGACTCAGGCGAAATCCGTGCTGGAAGTGATTCTTTTCGTTCAATATCGATTTTACCTTCCTCCTTATTTATCCCTTCATTCTTGCTAAATTTCAGTGCGTTGTTGCGCTCTATTCCTTCGATGCCTCAACGGTCGAGGAATTGTCTTTTAGGAAAGGTCCGATTTTTCTCTTTTCTTCTACTTTTATTCTTTTTCTTTCCAACAAATCCAACATGAAATATTTCTGAGTTGCTGTGTATCCACTTTATGTGTGGTGCCGGTCGCTCTAAAGCGTGCTGCGTGCATCACAACAAAGAACGCTCTTGCCAGAGCTGTGAATTTTTTTATATCAGCTCCCTCCACCGCAGCACACTCCCGGCCCACTCTGGAAATTCCACCACTTTTTCGATAGTCTTTCACTTTTCCGATTTCGTAAAAAAATATCTCATGAGGGAGAGGCCCAGCGCATCTTATTCCTTCTTCATTCGAAAAACTTTCATTTGAAAACGCCCTTTCTGGGGTCGTATCCGCTCACCGTGGATGAGTCGCCTTTTCCTTTGTAGATAATCGTTTACTTCTCTTTATCCATATTCTCGGTATCTGGGCAGTCCTGAAGCCAAATTAAGAACTTCACCCTTGAGAGCCTGGCCCATGGGCTGTGATCTGCACAACCTACCTCCGTGTGTGGAGATCTGCTAAATTCACATGTGCTCTTTTCTCACTATGCCACACCCAACTCAAACTTGGCAGGACATCTCCAATTTGCTTCCTCGGTATTATGGAATCTCGTGAGAGCTAGACAAGCACATGAATTCTTCGCCTTCTTCACAGCTTCATCCTAAGTAATGAAGATGATCTAATACCTAGAAAGTAGTAATTATTGTCTTAGAACGTTCTTGGGTAGGGCTGTAAAATTTATACGTTAGCTCGCACATCATGAAGGTATGACCATCCTTCCTTCAACATTCTCTAACCACAGATTCTAGGACTATTCTAAACAAAATTGTGAACTCTCGTTCATAGTTTCGCCTATCTCGGTACACGCCCACCCACTATTGGAGCGGAGCTTCGCTAAGCTCACGCCCGCCCAGCACGTACTAGACTTTGCTCATCTTTCTTTTTTCTGGCCTCCAGGCTTCCGTTGAATACAGTCATTAGTTTACGTAGCAGGTGCCACGCACTGAGATCGCTTCGCCTATCGCAAATAGGTTTCCCCCGTTTCGTTTGCTGACCCACTTCATTGCTCATTTTTTACGGCGTAGGGGTTTTTATGGAACCGAATTAGGAAGTATTACTATGGCACCTCCCACTCATGTGTATGTCCCGTTCCGTGCGCGGAGCCCCACCCACGGAGCTTACGTGATCGGGCCCTATGGCCAACCCACACACGACCCGACTTTTACCGGTGCTTCCTCAGGTATTATCGAATTTCGTGGCAGACATGCAGACAGACGCGAGTGCCTTACATATAGGAGGGATTATACAGGTTCCCTGCCGTTCAAGTGCAAGACAAACAATTTCCAGATGTTGCAACGTCCGACTATGTATTTAGGAGAACGTCTGTACATTATTGATCATCCCGCTCATGACCCAGATTGGTGGCTGGCGCGTAACTCTGTTGGCCAACAAGGTCTCATTCCGAAGAATTACATAGAGGTATGTTGTTGCGCGTCTCCTCGTTCCTCTACCAACATTCCTTGTCTTGTTTCATTTTGAATTCATTTTCCTATGTTAAAGTCGACATCTCAAGGTTTTATTTACATCGTTTAGCGCGTTTTTCGAGCCAAGTATCTTAGCGTTTAAAGATTATAACCTGAACATCTGTTGTGTTGTGCTGCTTGCTGTAGACTGCCATCGCTGAATGTTTGGTTGTTTTCGAAGATTCGTTTCCGTCAGTTGTAGGTTGTTTCTGCCGGTACTACAATTACTGGAAGTCCAGTGGAAAAAGCGCCATGGTTCTTTGGTCGAATTAGTCGTGACGAAGCGGATCGCTTGCTGGCTAACGGGAGAGAAGGCGAATTTCTTGTGCGCGATAGCGAAAGTAATGTAAGTGCTTGTCAATGATTCCTTCTGTTTATAAGGTTTACCTTGAACTCCTCAAGCTCGATGGAAATAAATCTGAAAGTTCACGCCATCATACAATGTTTTTGCCTTCGGTTTCATCACCTTAGGTGTATCTACCTTTGATCCGCTGCGTGCTCCCACTGGCTTTTCTTCACATTACGCGCTGCTGACCACGTGGCGCTAGTAGCGAAAATATTTTACTTCTTATCGCCTCTTTTTGATTATACGGTGCTTTCAAGTTTCGACTAACAGAGAAGAATACTTGTTCGCAATAGCCTTTCAGGATGTATGCATACCACCGTAATTGTTTCTGAATCAAATCTGTGTTCCAAATCTGCTAAATGATTTTGGGAACAAAATTACGGAATCGATTGCTCCATGTGTTATACCCCTGTACCGACACATAATCAAACCGAGCAATACTGTATCCGTGCAACAATGACGCAGCTGGTAGGATGCTATAACGGTAAGCATTGCTTGAAGGTTAGAATCCTTGATGCATGCGTTCATTTTGCTCCACCACGAAATGCTTCCTAAACGCCTGCAAAACGTTTTTAGGCTTGATATTGGCTATCTACACAGCTCTCTCACATTTCAGGATCACTGAAAAAGTATAACAGGGAGAAATTTTCTAGCTATGAATCGGCCGAATAAGGGTATAGCTCCATTCAATCAAGAGCAATTCTAGACATTTACTCAAAATAAGCTTCTGAGGCTCAAGGAGAAAGGAGCTAAATGATTCTCTTCAACTTGTCACCAACGAAATGGTCTGCCCGGAGACGGTGTCATCGTATTTGTTGGGGGCAGACATGTCAGTTTTTCTCCAAAATCCCGTTGCTCTTAAACTAGTTGTTCATGGAACGTGATAAATCGTTTTCCCGGTATGTCCTTCTGCTTTGATTTCAAGAAAAGTGCCAGTGAAGCTCATCGGATGCTTTTCGACACTTATGGAGACTCGGAATCAACAAGCTACCAGAAAGATGGCAAGAAGTTGTAGCTAAGGATGGGCAACACATTGATTTTAGTACATTTTGTTTTAATTCTGTAATAAATATGGTTTTGCACGCAAAAAGCGGCGGAAACTAGTGCACACACCTAATATGTTGATATTTCAAAGTGAACGTAGTCTACAACCTTGTGATCTGACCCATTAGCTTCAATTCTATGGTGCTGGTAGAAGAGTTCATAACCTTCTGCATACATACATATAGTTAGTATGCCAAATAAGGCCGCAATTCCTCGTGCATGAAAAAAAAGTTTTTTTCATCACGACCTAATGCCATCTATAAAAATTGACCAGGCGGCTCCGCACGCTACTGCGTGCGCTAGGGGCTCTAGTCTTGAGGGACGGAGCCACATGAGCTT